TGACATGGCCTTTCACCCATGACCTGTCTGGAAAGGGTTAATAAGATTAGTAACAATTAGATTAGTTGAGAGTTTTGTTGACTTTAATTGAGGTTAAAATTACATGTACATGCAAAATAAGATACGAAATGCTTGAATAGACTAGTATAAAACAAGTATAAAATTGTTCAAAAAAAAAAAAAGATTGAGATAAATCATAATAGATAGGAATGGTAAAAATATTTACTTATTTTTAATTTGCTAACCATATGAGAGGTTTTGTAACACATTTTCACAAAGCAGAGTGTCAAATGGTAAATTTCAAGTAATTGTTAGATCATGTGGTAAGTACCATATGGTCTGACCATTATTTGTCTGACCTTCAAACTTGAAATATCTATAAATAGATTAGAAGTTCACTGTTAGCTTTCTTCATCACAGCTGATCACTAAATTGTCCTCCACAGCGTCAGTGTTTTCATAAACCTGTTAGTTTCCTTCAAACTTTGTGTTTTTGGTGTATGTTGCTTTATACTCTTCAGTATTAAAACATGTTTTTACAGTTTTTGCTTTTCTCAGATGAATGCTTCTGGTGAAAAATAAATATGATTACAAAAAAAGTAGGTATTAAAATAGTGAATGTAAGTGTTAAATAAAAAGAGTCCCAAACTAACACTTAGGGTGACATTCCTCCATTAAGTATATGAATGGTAACAAAAAGTTATATTGTCCTCGATCACACCAAAAGAAATTACCAGAGTATCATACTAATAGCCAAGACCAAATTTGAAAGTTCATATTCATGGACTTGTTTACCAAATTTGTAAAAAAAATTCAACAGCATAAAGCTTGTTAAAGTGCTACAAGATTAATGTTCTTTATTATTTTTTGTTATGTATTTACCAAGCTACATTCATGCCACCGTTTTCGTTTGATTACTCTACAGCACCATGAATAGGAAACGTTTTTTTGTATGTAAATTGTGTTCTGTATTAAACCAAGATCTGTTTGCTAACAAGTCAAGACAGTCTATATTGCTAGTTGAACCTGAACTCGTGTGGAAAATGTTGATAAATAATGATAGTTATCACAACATTTTGCAAGTTCTATGCTTTAGCCTTCTTTATACAACCATCATGTAATCATGACCTATACTTACTATGACCTTTAATGTAGTAAATGTATCTCCTTGGCAAGCTTACTAGTAGCATTACACACAAAAAATATTTTTTGATTAAGTGTTATTACTAAAGATTTGTCTTTGAGTTTATGGAGTCAAGGTCTTGCAATGACTAGTCTAAGTGCAAGGTGATTATTCTCTAGAACATCCTAAGTGAATATCAAAAGCTATTTTATCTGTTATTTTCTCTACCCTAACACTATACAGGCTCGGTCAATTTTTACTGACCTTTTAACCAGCATAATAAATATAAATTACCCCTTTTTTTATTTCTAGAATAACTACTTATTTTAACAAAATTATAACTATTTGTTCTGAACACTTTCAGATTCTTAACAGTTTACAATTGTTTTTATATAATTTTTTTATCACTCTTTGAATTATTTGCAATCACTAAATCTTCATAAAGCTTTGAACTTGTGAGCAATAACTCAAAATAAAATAAAACAAAGTATTGAATCATTTAATGGATCTGCAGCTTGCAGTTAAACCTTACTGAGAAATATTTTAAGATTTGTTTTTCCATTTGTTTCCTTATCTAACCTAACAAGTATCAAATTTTTACATTTAAGTTACTTTTACAATAATAAATAAAGTAAAAACAAGAAATTTAATACTAGCACATAGATAATGTTCTTTTTTGCATTTGAAGTCTTGTTGAAAGTTAACCCTAATTTTTGGTAGGGTTATTGTTAGTACTTTACTAATTTTTTATTTATTTCAATTATTCAATGAGTAACATAAACTAATAACATGCACAGAGACTGCAATGTCCTGAAACTATTATAATTTAAGTGGCTTTTTAACTAAGCTATGAGAGCATTTAAATATTTGTTACTTGGCTGAGGTGATAGTAACTTAATCTGTAGGGTGAACAATTCAAAAGCTTTTGACAGAATGAGTTAACCTATTACATAATTCAGTAAATTAAAATATTCTATTTCTGTTGATTATAAATAATGAATTAACAAATGTTTGAGAATTATTGACATGTGACAGGAGGGTATGGCATGTGGGTTTGTATATCTAAGTTTGTAATTTGTGTTAAAATAGAGGTGGAAACTCACATGATGTAGTGAAGATTGAGGCATGTAGTGAAGATTGAGGCCTTACTTAAAATATCCTTTTGAAATTAATACATTGATAATAAGGTCATGTAACAAGGTCATGGCATGCACTTTTACCTAACCCTATCCAGAAGGTTAACAATTTTGTACATATGGCATGATACTTTTAAAGTTTTGTCTTTCTCTCACTCCTTGGTTGTTTGCAAAAAAATAATTAAAATACAGTTCAGTGTTTTTAAAAACTCAGTTTGACATGATAGGTGAAGTGATGACTGGTTAAATGCAGTTCAGTGTTTTTAAAACTCAGTTTGACATGATAGGTGGAGTGATGACTGGTTAAATGCAGTTCAATGTTTTTAAAAACTCGCTTTGACATGATAGGTGGAGTGATGAGCGACAAAATGCAGTTCAATGTTTTTAAAAACTCAGTTTGACATGATAAGTGGAGTGATGACTGGTTAAATGCAGTTCAGTGTTTTTAAAAACTCAGTTTGACATGATAGGTGGAGTGATGAGTGACAAAATGTAGTTCAGTGTTTTTAAAAACTCGGTTTGACATGATAGGTGGAGTGATGACTGGTTAAATGCAGTTCAGTGTTTTTAAAAACTCGGTTTGACATGATAGGTGGAGTGATGACTGGTTAAATGCAGTTCAGTGTTTTTAAAAACTCGGTTTGACATGATAGGTGGAGTGATGACTGGTTAAATGCAGTTCAGTGTTTTTAAAAACTCGGTTTGACATGATGTTTCGATCGTGTGTTGCATTTAAAGAAAAAATATTACAAAATTCTGTTAAGTTAGATTTAAGGTTATGGCATTATATTTATTGTGGCCATGTCAGGACTTGTGTAAAATTAATCCAATTTTGTATATGTATAAAACATAAATAGCAGAATAACCAGCTTTTAATTTTATGATGGATGGCATAAAAATACTAGGAAGTTGTTTCAAAGCAAGATTAAATTTGAATTCAATGTTCCTCGTAGCTGTATTTATCATGATGCATGTGAGACAACTCAGTGTCCCTCATAGCTATATTTACCATGATGCATGTGAGACAACTCAGTGTCCCTCGTAGCTATGTTTACCATGATATATGTGAGACAACTCAGTGTCCCTCATAGCTATATTTACCATGATGCATGTGAGACAACTCAGTGTCCCTTGTAGCTATGTTTACCATGATATATGTGAGACAACTCAGTGTCCCTTGTAGCTATGTTTACCATGATA